CCAGCTTCGCCATCTTCTTGCTCCTCAGGAACTCCAGCAGTGGCGTTGTCTTCCTGTCTGGGGCACAGTGCGGCGCTCACCACTCACTCACCACTCACTCACTCACCACTCGCTCACCACTCACTCACCACTCGCTCACCACTCACTCACCACTCACTCACCACTCGCTCACCACTCACTCACCACTCACTCACCACTCGCTCACCACTCACTCGCTCACCACTCACCACTCACTCACTCACCACTCGCTCACCACTCACCACTCACTCACTCACCACTCGCTCACCACTTACCACTCACTCACTCACCACTCACTCGCTCACCACTCGCTCACCACTCACTCGCTCACCACTCACTACTCGCTCACCACTCACTCGCTCACCACTCACTCACCACTCACTACTCACTCACTCACCACTCACTCACCACTCGCTCACCACTCACTCACCACTCACTCACCACTCGCTCACCACTTACCACTCACTCACTCACTCACCACTCACTCGCTCACCACTCACTCACCACTCGCTCACCACTCACTCGCTCACCACTCGCTCACCACTCACTCGCTCACCATTCACTCACCACTCACTCACCACTCGCTCACCACTCACTCACCACTCACTCGCTCACCACTCGCTCACCACTCACTCGCTCACCACTCGCTCACCACTCACTCGCTCACCACTCACTCACCACTCACTCACCACTCGCTCACCACTCACTCACCACTCACTCGCTCACCACTCGCTCACCACTCACTCGCTCACCACTCGCTCACCACTCACTCACTACTCACTCGCTCACCACTCGCTCACCACTCACTCGCTCACCACTCACTCACTCACTCACCACTCGCTCACTCACCACCACTCACTACTCACTCACTCACTCACCACTCGCTCACCACTCGCTCACCACTCGCTCACTCACCACCACTCACTCACTCACTACTCACTCGCTCACCATTCGCTCACCACTCACTCACCACTCGCTCACCACTCGCTCACCACTCGCTCACTCACCACCACTCACTCACCACTCACTCACTACTCACTCGCTCACCACTCGCTCACCACTCACTCGCTCACCACTCGCTCACCACTCACTCACTCACTCACCACTCGCTCACCACTCGTTCACCACTCGCTCACCACTCACTCACTACTCACTCGCTCACCACTCACTCACCACTCACTCACTCACCACTCGCTCACCACTCACTCACTACTCACTCGCTCACCACTCACTCACTCACTCACCACTCACTCACTCGCTCACCACTCACTCACCACTCGCTCACCACTCGCTCACTCACTCGCTCACCACTCACTCGCTCACCACTCACTCACCACACGCTTGCTCACCACTCACTCGCTCGCTCACCACTCACTCACCACTCACTCGCTCACCACTCACTCACTCGCTCACCACTCGCTCACCACTCACTCACTACTCACTCGCTCACCACTCGCTCACCACTCACTCGCTCACCACTCACTCACTCACTCACCACTCGCTCACTCACCACCACTCACTACTCACTCACTCACTCACCACTCGCTCACCACTCGCTCACTCACCACCACTCACTCACTCACTACTCACTCGCTCACCATTCGCTCACCACTCAATCACCACTCGCTCACCACTCGCTCACCACTCGCTCACTCACCACCACTCACTCACCACTCACTCACTACTCACTCGCTCACCACTCGCTCACCACTCACTCGCTCACCACTCACTCACTCACCACTCGCTCACCACTCGTTGACCATTCGCTCACCACTCACTCACTACTCACTCGCTCACCACTCACTCACTCACCACTCGCTCACCACTCACTCACTACTCACTCGCTCACCACTCACTCACTCACCACTCACTCACTCGCTCACCACTCACTCACCACTCGCTCACCACTCGCTCACTCACTCGCTCACCACTCACTCCCTCACCACTCACTCACCACACGCTTGCTCACCACTCACCACTCGCTCACCACTCGCTCACCACTCGCTCACTCACCACCACTCACTCACTCACTACTCACTCGCTCACCATTCGCTCACCACTCACTCACCACTCGCTCACCACTCGCTCACCACTCGCTCACTCACCACCACTCACTCACCACTCACTCACTACTCACTCGCTCACCACTCGCTCACCACTCGCTCACCACTCACTCACTCACCACTCGCTCACCACTCGTTCACCACTCGCTCACCACTCACTCACTACTCACTCGCTCACCACTCACTCACCACTCACTCACTCACCACTCGCTCACCACTCACTCACTACTCACTCGCTCACCACTCACTCACTCACTCACCACTCACTCGCTCACCACTCACTCACCACTCGCTCACCACTCGCTCACTCACTCGCTCACCACTCACTCGCTCACCACTCACTCACTACTCACTCGCTCACCACTCACTCACCACTCACTCACTCACCACTCGCTCACCACTCACTCACTACTCACTCGCTCACCACTCACTCACTCACTCACCACTCACTCACTCGCTCACCACTCACTCACCACTCGCTCACCACTCGCTCACTCACTCGCTCACCACTCACTCGCTCACCACTCACTCACCACACGCTTGCTCACCACTCACTCGCTCGCTCACCACTCACTCACCACTCACTCGCTCACCACTCACTCACTCGCTCACCACTCGCTCACCACTCACTCACTACTCACTCGCTCACCACTCGCTCACCACTCACTCGCTCACCACTCACTCACTCACTCACCACTCGCTCACTCACCACCACTCACTACTCACTCACTCACTCACCACTCGCTCACCACTCGCTCACTCACCACCACTCACTCACTCACTACTCACTCGCTCACCATTCGCTCACCACTCACTCACCACTCGCTCACCACTCGCTCACCACTCGCTCACTCACCACCACTCACTCACCACTCACTCACTACTCACTCGCTCACCACTCGCTCACCACTCACTCGCTCACCACTCGCTCACCACTCACTCACTCACCACTCGCTCACCACTCGTTCACCACTCGCTCACCACTCACTCACTACTCACTCGCTCACCACTCACTCACCACTCACTCACTCACCACTCGCTCACCACTCACTCACTACTCACTCGCTCACCACTCACTCACTCACCACTCACTCACTCGCTCACCACTCACTCACCACTCGCTCACCACTCGCTCACTCACTCGCTCACCACTCACTCGCTCACCACTCACTCACCACACGCTTGCTCACCACTCACTCACTCGCTCACCACTCACTCACCACTCACTCGCTCACCACTCACTCACTCGCTCACCACTCACTCACCACTCACTCACCACTTACTCACTATGATAATCATGATTTTATGCCGATTAAAATGATGTTGATTACAACGATGATTAATTATAGTGAAGATGTTGATTATGATGACTATGATGATGATTACGGTGATGATTATGATGACTACAACGATGATTGCGATGACGGTGATGGTGATTGCGATGACGGTGGTGATGATTGCGATGACAGTGGTGATGACTGCGATGACGGTGATGATGATTGCGATGACGGTGGTGATGATTGTGATGACGGTGGTGATGATTGTGATGACGCTGATGATGATTGTGAGGACGGTGGTGATGATTGTGATGACGGTGGTGATGATTGTGATGACGGTGATGATGATTGTGATGACGGTGGTGACGATTGTGATGACGGTGATGATGATTGCGATGACGGTGGTGATGATTGTGATGACGGTGATGATTATTGTGATGACGGTGATGATGATTGTGATGACGGTGGTGATGACTGCGATGAGGGTGATGATGATTGTGATGACGGTGATGATGATTGTGATGACGGTGGTGATGATTGCGATGATGGTGGTGATTATTGTGATGACGGTAGTGATGATTGCGATGACGGTGTTGATGATTGCGATGACGGTGGTGATGATTGTGATGATGGTGGTGATGATTGCGATGACAGTGATGATGATTGCGATGACGGTGATGATTGCGATGATGGTGATGATTGCGATGACGGTGATGATGATTGCGATGACTGTGATGATGATTGCGATGACGGTGATGATGATGATGATTGCGATGACGGTGGTGATGATTGTGATGACGGTGATGATTGCGATGACGGTGGTGATGATTGTGATGACGGTGATGATTGCGATGACGGTGGTGATGATTGTGATGACGGTGGTGATGATTGTGATGACGGTGACGATGATTGCAATGACGGTGATGATGATTGCGATGACGGTGGTGATGATTGTGATGATGGTGATGATGATTGCGATGACGGTGATGATTGTGATGACGATGATGATGATTGCGATGACGGTGATGATGATTGCGATGACGGTGGTGATGATTGTGATGACGGTGGTGATGATTGCGATGACGGTGGTGATGATTGTGATGACGATGATGATTGCGATGACGATGATGATTGCGATGACGGTGATGATGATTGTGATGACGGTGATGATGATTGCGATGACGATGATGATTGCGATGACGATGATGATTGCGATGACGGTGATGATGATTGCGATGACGGTGGTGATGATTGTGATGACGGTGGTGATGATTGTGATGATGATGATTTCACCGAGGATGTCTTTGTTTTTCATCTCCACCTCCTCCAGCAGAAGCTCCGGGCTGGTCACGATCCTCACGGTCTGCCTGTCGGCCAGGAACCTGCGGTAGTCAGCATCTACTCCACACACGCAACATCGTCATCATCATCGTCATCATCATCGTCATCATCATCGTCATCATCATCGTCATCATCATCGTCATCATCATCGTCATCATCATCATCATCGTCATCATCGTCGTCGTCATCGTCATCATCGTCGTCATCATCATCGTCATCATCATCATCATCGTCATCATCGTCATCTTCATCGTCACGATCCTCACCGTCTGCCTGTCGGCCAGGAACCTGCGGTAGTCAGCATCTACTCCACACACAACATCATCATCACCGTCATCGTCATCATCATCGTCATCATCATTGTCATCATCGTCATCATCATCGTCATCATCATCGTCGTCATCATCATCGTCATCATCATCGTCATCATCATCATCATCATCGTCATCATCATCGTCATCATCATCGTCGTCATCATCGTCGTCATCATCATCGTCATCATCATCATCATCGTCATCATCGTCGTCGTCATCGTCATCATCGTCGTCATCATCATCGTCATCATCATCATCATCGTCATCATCGTCACGATCCTCACCGTCTGCCTGTCGGCCAGGAACCTGCGGTAGTCAGCATCTACTCCACACACAACATCATCATCACCGTCATCGTCATCATCATCATCATTGTCATCATCGTCATCATCATCGTCATCATCATCGTCGTCATCATCGTCGTCATCATCATCGTCATCATCATCGTCATCATCATCATCATCGTCATCATCATCGTCATCATCATCATCATCGTCATCATCGTCATCATCATCGTCGTCATCATCGTCGTCATCATCATCGTCGTCATCATCATCATCATCGTCATCATCGTCGTCGTCATCGTCATCATCGTCGTCATCATCATCGTCATCATCATCATCATCGTCATCATCGTCATCATCGTCACGATCCTCACCGTCTGCCTGTCGGCCAGGAACCTGCGGTAGTCAGCATCTACTCCACACACAACATCATCATCACCGTCATCGTCATCATCATCGTCATCATCATTGTCATCATCGTCATCATCATCGTCATCATCATCATCGTCGTCATCATCGTCGTCATCATCATCGTCATCATCATCGTTATCGTCATCATCATCATCATCATCGTCATCATCATCGTCATCATCATCATCGTCATCATCATCGTCGTCATCATCGTCGTCATCATCATCGTCGTCATCATCATCGTCATCATCGTCGTCGTCATCGTCATCATCGTCGTCATCATCATCGTCATTATCATCATCATCGTCATCATCGTCATCATCGTCACGATCCTCACCGTCTGCCTGTCGGCCAGGAACCTGCGGTAGTCAGCATCTACTCCACACACAACATCATCATCACCGTCATCGTCATCATCATCGTCATCATCATTGTCATCATCGTCATCATCATCGTCGTCATCATCGTCATCATCGTCGTCATCATCATCGAGTGGGTAGGTGAGTGAGTGAGTGGATGAGTGAGTATGTGAGTATGTGAGTGAGTGGATGAGTGAGTGGGTGCGTGTGTGAGTGGCTGAGTGAGTGGGGGAGTGGGTGAGTGGGTGAGAGTGTGAGTGAGTCTGTGAGTGTGTGAGTGTGTGGGTGGGTGTGTGGGTGAGTGAGTGAGTGAGTGAATGGGTGGGTGAGTGAGTGGGTGAGTGAGTGGGTGAGTGTGTGGGTGAGTGAGTGGGTGAGTGGGTGAGTGAGTGGGTGAGTGAGTGTGTGAGTGGGTGGGTGGGTGAGTGAGTGAGTGTGTGGGTGGGTGTGTGGGTGGGTGAGTGGGTGAGGTGAGTGGGTGAGTGAGTAGGTGAGTGAGTGGGTGAGGTGAGTGAGTGGATGAGTGAGTATGCGAGCGGGTGAGTGAGTGGGTGAGGTGAGTGGGTGAGTGAGTGGATGAGTGAGTGGATGAGTGAGTGTGAGTGAGTGAGTGGGTGAGTGAGTGAGTGGCTGAGTGAGTGTGTGAGTGAGTGGATGAGGTGAGTGGGTGAGTGAGTGAGTGAGTGGATGAGTGAGTGGGTGAGGTGAGTGAGTGGATGAGTGAGTGGCTGAGTGAGTGGGTGAGTGGCTGAGTGAGTGTGAGTGAGTGTGAGTGAGTGAGTGGGTGAGTGGGTGAGTGAGTGGGTGCGTGGCTGAGTGAGTGAGTGTGAGTGGGTGAGTGAGTGGGTGAGTGAGTATGAGTGAGTGAGTGGGTGAGTGGGTGAGTGAGTGTGTGAGTGAGTGAGTGGGTGAGTGAGTGGGTGAGTGGGTGAGTGAGTGAGTGAGTGTGTGAGTGAGTGAGTGAGTGGGTGAGTGAGTGGGTGAGTGGGTGAGTGAGTGAGTGGGTGAGTGGGTGAGTGAGTGGGTGAGTCAGTGGGTGAGTGTGTGAGTGAGTGGGTGAGTGAGAAGTGAGTGAGTGGGTTAGTGAGTGGGTGAGTGAGTGTGTGAGTGAGTGGGTGAGTGTGTGAGTGTGTGAGTGAGTGGGTGTGTGTGTGAGTGTGTGAGTGGGTGAGTGAGTGGCTGAGTGGGTGAGTGAGTGAGTGGATGTGTGTGTGAGTGTGTGAGTGGGTGGGTGAGTGGGTGAGTGAGTGGGTGAGTGAGTGGCTGAGTGGGTGAGTGAGTGGGTGAGTGAGTGGGTTAGTGAGTGGGTGAGTGAGTGGGTGGGTGAGTAAGTGAGTGGGTGAGTGAGTGGGTGAGTGAGCGAGTGGCTGAGTGAGTGAGTGGGTGAGTGAGTGAGTGAGTGTGTGAGTGTGTGAGTGAGTGGCTGAGTGGGTGAGTGTGATTGGTGAGCAGCTCTCACCCTCAGTGATTGACCCGGTCTTAGTGTCTCTGTGGGAAGACTTCTTTTTAGGAATCTTCTGATAGGGAGCAAATTCGACAATGGCTGGATACTCCTGGCCTGACAGAGACAGACAGAGATGATTTTTTGATATAAATATTCATCGTGATGATGTATTTCACCAGGTGTAGGTCCCCGTTGAGCTGTGACGTGATTGTTTTTCAGAAGCGGCCCCCGCATGGCCATCACGATGATCGCATCGTCGTCATCGCCACCGTGTGGAAAGTGATCAGCAGCCAAACACTCTGAACGCTCAATGTGAGGGGAAGAAACGGAGGGCCCTCGAGACAAATCCACGCAGTGACCACCACGGGGAGAATGAGAGAGACACAGACTCCAAATATACAGCAGCAGCAGGCGTCGTCAGGGTCGGGATCGAACCCACGACCTCCTGCCTACCAGGCGAGGTAGTCAACATCTCATAGCCACCGTGATGATGATGAGAGAGACACACAGACTCCAAATATACAGCAGCAGCAGGCGTTGTCAGGGTCGGGATCGAACCCACGACCTCCTGCGTACCAGGCGAGGTAGTCAACATCTCATAGCCACCGTGATGATGATGAGAGAGACACACAGACTCCAAATATACAGCAGCAGCAGGCGTTGTCAGGGTCGGGATCGAACCCACGACCTCCTGTACACCATGCGAGGTAGTCAACATCTCATAGCCACCGTGATGATGAGAGACGCAGACTCCAAATACAGCAGCAGGCGTCGTCAGGGTCGGGATCGAACCCACGACCTCCTGCCTACCAGGCGAGGTAGTTAAAGCCTCACCTTGAGTCTCAAGACCCTGCTGCAGCTGCTGCTGCTGTGATCCTTGTTGTGTTTGGTTTATTTTCCTTCCCACCCCGTGCCTCCGATTAGCGCGGGTGTCCACTCACGGTGCGAACGCGAAGTCCACGGTGCGTAGCCGCACACACATTGTGGACATCGTCGGGATCACGCCGGGCGGGCAAACAGCGCCACGTAGCGGCGGCGGCGGCATCAGCAGGCGAGCCGACATCAAACCCAGCATCGGAGTCTCCCATTATTATTACTACTTATTTATTTTATTCTCATTCTACGTGACTTTACCGAAAGAACCAAAGAAGATGAATCTCTTATTATTACTTATTTATTTTAGACTGCAGCATGAGGAATCAGATTCTTCGCTGATGTCCACACAGTTGCACATCGGGGGGTGGCAGACAGACAGGCAGACAGGCAGACAGACAGGCAGGCAGACAGACAGACAGGCAGACAGACAGGCAGGCAGACAGACAGGTACAAACAGACAAGACATACAGACAGGCAGTCAGGCAGAGAAGACAGACAGACAGACAGGCAGACAAGACAAGACAGACAGACAGACAGGCAGACAGACAGACAGACAGGCAGTCAGGCAGACAAGACAGACAGGCAGACAGGCAGGCAGACAGACAGACAAGACAGATAGTCAGGCAGACAAGACAGACAGGCAGACAGACAGACAGGCAGATAGACAGACAGACAGACAGGCAGACAGGCAGACAGACAGACAGGCAATCAGGCAGACAGACAGACAGGCAGTCAGGCAGACAAGACAGACAGGCAGGCAGACAGACAAGACAGACAGGCAGACAGACAGACAGGCACAAACAGACAAGACAGACAGACAAGACAGGCAGGCAGACAGACAGACAGACAGGCAGACAGGCAGGCACAAACAGACAAGACAGAAAGGCAGACAGACAGGCAGGCAGGCAGAAAAGACAGACAGACAGGCAGACAAGACAGACAGACAGACAAGACAGACAGGCAGACAGGCAGACAAACAGGCAAACAGACAAGGCAGACAGACAAGACAGACAGACAGGCAGACAGGCAGACAGACAAGACAGAGAGACAAGACAGACAGACAGGCAGACAGACAAGACAGACAGATAGACAGACAAGACAGACAGACAAGACAGACAGACAGGCAGGTAGTCAGGCAGGCAGACAGGCAGGCAGACAGACAGACAGACAGGGAGGCAGGCAGACAGACAAGACAGACAGACAGGCAGGCAGGCAGACAGACAGACAAGACAATACCGGGGGGGTGGAGGGAGGGAGGGGTGGAGGTGTAACTGGCGGCCTCACCGTGCTTGTCGACGAAGACGTAGCCGTCGAAGCGCTCGCGGAAGTGTGGGATGTCCTCCGAGTTCCGGAAGTTGATGTAGAACCTCGAGAAGCAGTTCACCTGTGAACTGCCACGGCCGGCGGCGGCGGTGACACGTTAACTACCTCGCCAGGTACGCAGGGGGTCGTGGGTTCCATTCCACGGGTAGTAAACATCTAGCCACCGTGATGATGATGATGAGAGAGACGCAGACTCCAAATATACAGTGGCAGGTGTCGTCAGGGTCCGGGATTGAACCTACGACCTCCTACATACCAGGCGAGGTAGTTAACATCTCCTAGCCACCCCCCCCCACCCCGAGTGATGCAGGGTGACACACTGAGTGACACGCCGGGTGACACGCCGGGTAACACGCCGAGTGACACACCGGGTGACCCACTGGGTGACACACCGGGTGACACACCGGGTGACACACCGGGTGACACACTGGGTGACACGCCGGGTGACACAGTGAGTGACACGCCGGGTGACACGCCGGGTGACACAGTGAGTGACACGCCGGGTGACGCGCCGGGTGACACACCGGGTGACACACTGGGTGACGCGCCGGGTGACACGCCGAGTGACACGCCGGGTGACACGCCGAGTGACACACCGGGTGACCCACTGGGTGACACACCGGGTGACACACTGGGTGACACACCGGGTGACACAGTGAGTGACACACTGGGTGACACACCGGGTGACACACCGAGTGACACACCGGGTGACACGCCGGGTGACACACTGGGTGACACACCGGGTGACACAGTGAGTGACACACTGGGTGACACACCGGGTGACACGCCGAGTGACACACCGGGTGACACGCCGGGTGACACACTGGGTGACACGCCGGGTGACACGCCGGGTGACACACCGGGTGACACACCGGGTGACACGTCGGGTGACACGCCGGGTGACACGCCGGGTGACACACCGAGTGACACGCCGGGTGACACACCGAGTGACACACTGGGTGACACACCGGGTGACATGCCAGGTGACACACCGGGTGACACACTGGGTGACACACCGGGTGACACACCGGGTGACACGCCGGGTGACACGCCGGGTGACACACTGGGTGACACACCGAGTGACACACTGGGTGACACACCGGGTGACATGCCAGGTGACACACCGGGTGACACACTGGGTGACACGCCGGGTGACACACCGGGTGACACACCGGGTGACACGCCGGGTGACATGCCGGGTGACACGCCGGGTGACACGCCGGGTGACACACCGGGTGACACGCTGGGTGACACGCAGGGTGACACACCGGGTGACACACTGGGTGACACACTGGGTGACACACTGGGTGACACACCGGGTGACACACTGGGTGACACACCGGGTGACACACTGGGTGACACACCGGGTGACACACTGGGTGACACGCCGGGTGACACGCCGCTCACCTCCCGTCGCCGGCACAGAAGTGGAAGTAGTCGTGAAGGGGGAGGGGAGAGACGTGGTCCAGGAGTTGATCGCGGTCCAGAGACGGTGGGAGCCTCCTCACCACCACCTACACACGGCCATGGTCAGCGAGTGGGTGGGTGGGTAGATGGGTGGGTGAGTGGGTGGTGGGTGAGTGGGTAGGTGGGTGGGTGAGTGGGTAGATGCGTGGGTGGGTGAACGGGTGGGTGAGTGAGTGGGTGGGTGGTTGAACGGGTGGGTGATAGGGTGGGTGGGTGAGTGGGTGGGTGGGTGAGTGTGTAGATGCGTGGGTGGGTGAGTGGGTAGATGCGTGGGTGGGTGAACGGGTGGGTGAGTGAGTGGGTGAGTGAACGAGTGGGTGGGTAAGTGGGTGGGTGGGTGAATGAGTGGGTGAGTGGATCGGTGAACGGGTGGGTGAGTGAGTGGGTGGGTGAATGGGTGGGTGAGTGGGTGAACGGGTGGGTGAGTGGGTGGGTGGGTGAATGGGTGGGTGGGTGAGTGCGTAGATGCGTAGGGTGGGTGAACGGGTGGGTGAGTGAGTGGGTGAGTGAACGAGTGGGTGAGTAAGTGGGTGGGTGGGTGAGTGGGTGAGTGGATCGGTGAACGGGTGGGTGAGTGGGTGGGTGAGTGGTTGGGTGGATGAGTGGGTGGGTAAACGGGTGGGTGAGTGGGTGGGTGAGTGGGTGGGTGAGTGGGTGGGTGAGTAGGGGTGGGTGGGTGAGTGGGTGGGTGAGTGAGTGGGTGGGTGAGTGGGTGGGTGGGTGTGTGAGTGGGTGGGTGAGTGGGTGAGTGGGTGAGTGGGTGAGTGGGTGGGTGGGTGTAACGCCATAGTGGCTAGGAGATGTTATCTCCCTGGCCAGGTATGCAGGAGATCGTGGGTTTGATCCCAACCCTGACCGCCTGCTGTATATTTGGAGTAGCAGGCAATTTTTTTTTTTAACTGACGTGACTTTACCGAAAGAACCAAACAGTATCTTAAACACAACTCCTCTGTTATGGCCAGGGAAATAATTACGAACAATAATGATTCTTTTTCACAATTTTTGCGACTGCCAAAAGATGTATCCCACAGATGAAGCTGCTCACCCGAGCTGTAGGAGTGCCCTGACACGCGTGGTGGCATTTGGCGTTGTTCTACGTTTCAAGGAACGCGTTATTTGTAATGTTTTGTGTTTAATGGTGGGCTCACAAGAAAATTGATTTCTCTAAGACGAAGGTACTTTGCAAGCCCACTGGCTATCAACAAAGGTTCATTCATGAAGCCATCCATATTTATAGACACGGACACAATTTCAACCGAGGAGTTGGGTACAAACACCCATTACTACTATTGCGTTCCGTCTCTCCAATGGACGTCCCAACTCCCCGTTCCGTCTCCCCCATGGACGTGCCGTCTCACCGTTCCGTCTCCCCCATGGACGTCCACTCCCCGTTCCGTCTCCCCCATGTACGTTCCCACTCCCCGTTCCGTCTCCCCCATGAACGTTCCCACTCCCCGTTCCGTCTCCCCCATGGACGTACCACTCCCCGTTCCGTCTCCCCCATGAACGTTCCACTCCCCGTCCCGTCTCCCCCATGAACGTTCCCACTCCCCGTTCCGTCTCCCCATGAACGTTACCACTCCCCGTTCCGTCTCCCCATGAACGTTACCACTCCCCGTTCCGTCTCACCCATGAACGTTCCACTCCCCGTTCCGTCTCCCCCATGAACGCTCCCACTCCCCGTTCCGTCTCCCCATGAACGTTACCACTCCCCGTTCCGTCTCTCCCATGAACGTTCCACTCCCCGTTCCGTCTCCCCCATGGACTTTCCACTCCACGTTCCGTCTCCCCCATGAACGTCCCATTCCCCGTTCCGTCTCCCCATGAACGTCCACTCCCCGTTCCGTCTCTCCCATGAACGTTCCACTCCCCGTTCCCTCTCCCCCATGAACGCTCCCACTCCCCGTTCCGTCTCCCCATGAACGTTACCACTCCCCGTTCCGTCTCCCCCATGAACGTTCCATTCCCCGTTCCGTCTCCCCCATGAACGTTCCACTCCCCGTCCCGTCTCCCCCATGAACGTTCCCACTCCCCGTTCCCTCTCCCCATGAACGTTACCACTCCCCGTTCCGTCTCCCCCATCAACGCTCCCACTCCCCGTTCCGTCTCCCCATGAACGCTCCCACTCCCCGTTCCGTCTCCCCATGAACGTTACCACTCCCCGTTCCGTCTCTCCCATGAACGTTTCACTCCCCGTTCCGTCTCCCCCATGGACGTTCCACTCCACGTTCCGTCTCCCCCATGAACGTTCCATTCCCCGTTCCGTCTCCCCATGGACGTTCCACTCCACGTTCCGTCTCCCCCATGAAAGTTCCATTCCCCGTTCCGTCTCCCCCATGAACGTTCCACTCCCCGTTCCGTCTCCCCCATGAACGTTCCCACTCCCCGTTTTGTCTCCCCCATGAACGTTCCCACTCCCCGTTTTGTCTCCCCCATGAACGTTCCCACTCCCCGTTCCGTCTCCCCCATGGACGTCCACTCCCGTTCCGTCTCCCCATGAACGTTCCCACTCCCCGTTCCGTCTCCTCATGAACGTTCCCACTCCCCGTTCCGTCTCCCCCATGAACGTTCCCACTCCCCGTTCCGTCTCCTCATGAACGTTCCCACTCCCCGTTCCGTCTCCCCCATGAACGTTCCCACTCCCCGTTCCGTCTCCCCCATGAACGTTCCCCCTCCCCGTTCCGTCTCCCCCAAGGACGTTCCACTCCCCGTTCCTTCTCCCCCATGAACGTTCCACTCCCCGTTCCGTCTCCTCATGGACGTTCCACTCCCCGTTCCGTCTCCTCATGGACGTTCCACTCCCCGTTCCGTCTCCCCATGAACGTTCCCACTCCCCGTTCCGTCTCCCCCATGAACGTTCCCACTCCCCGTTCCGTCTCCTCATGAACGTTACCACTCCCTGTTCCGTCTCCTCATGGACGTTCCCACTCCCCGTTCCGTCTCCTCATGAACGTTCCCACTCCCCGTTCCGTCTTCTCATGAACGTTCCCACTCCCCGTTCCGTCTCCCTCATGAACGTTCCCACTCCCCGTTCCGTCTCCCTCATGAACGTTCCCACTCCCCGTCCCGTCTCCCTCATGAACGTTCCACTCCCCGTTCCGTCTCCCTCATGAACGTTCCCACTCCCCGTTCCGTCTCCCTCATGAACGTTCCCACTCCCCGTTCCGTCTCCCTCATGAACGTTCCAACTCCCCGTTCCGTCTCCCTCATGAACGTTCCCACTCCCCGTTCCGTCTCCTCATGAACGTCCCCACTCCCCGTTCCGTCTCCCTATGAACGTTCCCACTCCCCGTTCCGTTTCCTCATGGACGTTCCCACTCCCCGTTCCGTCTCCCCCACGGACGTTCCACTCCCTGTTCCGTCTCCTCCATGGACGCTCCACTCCTCGTTCCGTCTCCCCCCCTCACAAATTGACGCGAAATTTTTGTTTGTTCCATTGGAAAAAAAAATCAATACCGCATGCTAATAATGGTTGTTGTTATTGTTATGGTTGTTGTGATGGTTGTTGCTGTTGTAAATAATAATTTTAAAAAATTCACCTTGGTCATGGCGTCAGCCTTGCACCGCTTCCTCTCGTTCGCCTCAGAGCTCCGCTTATTATTCTTATTATTATTCTTGCTCGTGCTCGATGTAGGAGTAACATTCTCCTTCACCTGCTGAGGCCTCGTCATTGTGTCCGCGATGACGATCAATGCTGGCGACGTTTATCTATTTGTTAACGCAACGTTTGATTTCGATATTTGGCTTATTTTCAATTATTTCAGGCGAGGGAACCGTGCGTGATGACGTCAACGCGTAAGTAATCACGCGGTGGGGGGGGGGGGCCCGTGGCTACGTGATGACGTCACGATTAAACGCCACCGCACGTGATGACGCCACGAGACCATCGTGCGCGATGACGTCACGATACAAACCCCCTAAACGTCATCGTACGTGATGACGTCAACACGTAAATAAAATATTTAAAAAAAAATAAATCGCGGGTACTTACGAGGCGTCATCGTTGACAGAATTGTAATGTGTGATGACGTCATCGCGCAACGTGTACGCGAGTTGGCTACGTGATGATGTCACGATGCAATCCACCCCCCACTATCACCGTACTTCATATTGAATAGATTTTATTAAAAACCCGCGGGTACTTACGACGTGACGTCATCGCGTATAGAATTGAAGGCGTGATGACGTCATCGCGTAATGTGTGTGTGCGGTGGCTGTGTGAAAACGTCACGGCACAAAACGCGCCGGGATTACGCGATGACGTTGCCAACAGAGAGAATGTGATATGACGTCACATCGTAAGAATATAGACCGTGTGCTTTTACTGCGCGATAACCACCCTGTATAATAACCCCTATGTGTCCTAACTTGTGGGCCACCCTGTACAATAACAACAACCCCTATGTGTCCTGACTTGTGGGCCACCCTGTACAATAACAACAACCCCTATGTGTCCTGACTTGTGGGCCACCCTGTACAATAACAACAACCCCTATGTGTCCTACCTTGTGGGCCACCCTGTATAACAACAACCCCTATGTGTCCTGACTTGTGGGCCACCCTGTACAATAATAACAACCCCTATGTGTCCTAACTTATGGGCCACTCTGTATAATAACAACCCCTATGTGTCCTGACTTGTGGGCCACCCTGTACAATAACAACAACCCCATATGTGTCCTACCTTGTGGGCCACTCTGTATAATAACAACCCCTATGTGTCCTGACTTGTGGGCCACTCTGTATAATAACAACCCCTATGTGTCCTAACTTATGGGCCACCCTGTATAATAACAACAACCCCTATGTGTCCTGACTTATGGGCCACCCTGTATACTAACAACAACCCCTATGTGTCCTGACTTATGGGCCACCCTGTATAATAACAACAACCCCTATGTGTCCTGACTTATGGGCCACCCTGTATAATAACAACAACCCCTATGTGTCCTGACTTGTGGGCCACCCTGTACAACAACAACCCCTATGTGTCCTAACTTGTGGGCCACCCTGTATAATAACAACCCCTATGTGTCCTAACTTGTGGGCCACCCTGTACAATAATAACAACCCGTGTCCTGACTTGTGGGCCACCCTGTATAATAACAACCCCTGTGTCCTGACTTGTGGGCCACCCTGTACAACAACCCCTATGTGTCCTGACTTGTGGGCCACCCTGTATAATAATAACCCCTATGTGTCCTGACTTATGGGCCACCCTGTATAATAATAACAACCCCTATGTGTCCTGACTTATGGGCCACCCTGTACAATAACAACCTCTGTGTCCTGACTTGTGGGCCACCCTGTATAATAATAACCCCTGTGTCCTGACTTGTGGGCCACCCTGTATAATAATAACCCCTATGTGTCCTGACTTATGGGCCACCCTGTATAATAATAACCCCTATGTGTCCTGACTTGTGGGCCACCCTGTATAATAATAACAACCCCTATGTGTCCTGACTTATGGGCCACCCTGTATAATAATAACCCCTATGTGTCCTGACTTGTGGGCCACCCTCTTTGTTTCCCACTCCGGCGATCAGTGTCAGTGGAACCCAGCGCTATCCCCTAGGTCCGCTGGGCCATAACTCTCCTCGCTACCCGCGTCGTCTCTGTTGACACGTGACTGGGATGCCGAGCGGACAGCGAGTGGCTAAATGGGTGAGTGGATGAGTGAGTGGGTCGGTGGGTGAGTGAGTGGGTGAGCGAGTGGATGAGTGAGCCAGTGGGTGAGTGGGTGAGTGGGTGGATGAGTGAGCGAGTGGGTGAGTGAGTGGGTGGGTGGATGAGTGAGCGAGTGAGTGGGTGGATGAGTGAGCGAGTTGGTGAGTGGGTGGATGAGTGAGCGAGTGGGTGAGTGAGTGGGTGGATGAGTGAGCGAGTGGGTGGGTGAGTGATTGGTTGAGTGAGTGGGTGGATGAGTGAGCGAGTGGATGAGTGGTTCAGTGAGTGTGGGTGGGTGAGTGGGTGTGTGGATTAATGAGTGGATGGTTCAGTGGGTGGTTGGGTGAGTGGGTGGGTGAGTGAGTGGGTGAGTAAATAGGTGGGTGAGTGGGTGGTTTGGTGAGTGGGTGAGTAAATGGGTGAGTGGGTGGGTAAGTGGGTGAGTGGGTGGATGAGTGAGTTGATGGGCGAGTGGGTGGGTGGTTCAGTAAGTGAGTGGATGGTTGAGTGAGTGGGTGGTTGGGTGAGTGATAGGGTGCGTAAATGGGTGGGTGAGTGGGTGGGTGGTTGGGTGAGTAAGTAAATGGGTAGGTGAGTGGGTGGGTTGTTTGGCGAGTGAGTGGGTGAGTAAATGGGTGAGTGGGTGGGTGAGTGGGTGGGTGAGTAGGTGGGTGAGTAAATGGGTGGTTGAGCGAGTCAGTTGCCGACTGAGTGGGCAAGTGAGTGGGTGGGTTGGTGAGTGGTGCAAATTATAGAGGGGCAGCACCTGCAAGTGCCCCCGCTCACCGCCATTGCTGGGGGAATAGAGGCCTCGGTGGGGGCTCTAGATTGGTGGGGGGGATACCCACACTTTACACCACCACACGTGACCTGCCGATCGTAGGCCTCACTGTGGTCGACTCATTTAGACTACTGCTGGGTGGACAGCGGGCCTAGGGGCACCCCCAGCGGCAGCTGTCCCTGTGCGTGAGCCTGCTCATCACGACGGGTGGTGGTGACTGCTGCTGTGTGGTCTGGCCTAGGGGCACCCCCAGCGGCAGCTGTCCCTGTGCGTGAGCCTGCTGCCAGTAGGGGTGTGCGTTGATCGCTGCTGTGTGGTCTAACCTAAGGGCACCCCCCGCACGCAACCAATGCAACCCACACGCAACCCACACGCAACCCGAGTATCTCGCGGTGCCGTACGGGGTGGTGGTGGTGATGGATTTGAGAGTGGAGTCGGCAGGCTGAATGTTTGCACAAGTCCCGGGTGGTTTGTTTTAATGACACGCAGCGCTATATACAATAATTATACATTATTACACATTCTATATATAGTAGTCGTAGCAGTAGTAGGGGCGGATGGGGTGGAGTGTGGGGGTCTCGTCCTCGTGTTTTATTATTAAAACGCGTTGGGCTGTAAGACGTGACTGACATCATCATCGTCATCATCATCATCCCAAGCGGTTTTTGTATTTAATAGTTGGGAGGGTGGGGGATGCACTCACACACACAAGTGAGGCTGTCTCCTTGCTGCTGCTACTGCTGTTGTTGTTGCTGATGTTGTTGCTGCTGCTACTGTTGTTGCTGATGTTGTTGCTGTTGCTACTGCTGCTGTTGTTGCTGATGTTGCTGCTGCTACTGCTGCTGTTGCTGCTACCGCTGCTGTTGCTGCCGCTGTTGCTGCTACCGCTGTTGCTGCTACCGCTGTTGCTGCTGCCGCTGTTGCTGCTACCCCTGTTGCTGCTACCGCTGCTGCTGCTGTTGTTACTGCTGCTGTTGCTGCTACTGCTGCTGTTACTGTTGCTGCTGCTACTGCTGCTGCTACAATCGCCCGCGCCGTCGGCAGTGGCTACCCCGTCTCCGACACAAAGACAGCGTCCCCAAAGCCCCGTCGCAGCCTGTGGAGCAGCCTGTGGGAGCAGACAGCTGTCTGCAGTGGGTGCCACGTGCCGTGGGTGCCACGTGCCGTGGGTGCCACGTGCAGTGGGTGTCACGTGCAGTGGGTGCCACGTGCAGTGGGTGCCACGTGCAGTGGGTGCCACGTGCCGTGGGTGTCACGTGCTGTGGGTGTCACGTGCCGTGGGTGTCACGTGCCGTGGGTGTCACGTGCAGTGGGTGCCACGTGCCGTGGGTGTCACGTGCAGTGGGTGCCACGTGCAGTGGGTGTCACGTGCAGTGGGTGCCACGTGCCGTGGGTGTCACGTGCAGTGGGTGCCACGTGCAGTGGGTGCCACGTGCAGTGGGTGCCACGTGCTGTGGGTGTCACGTGCCGTGGGTGCCACGTGCCGTGGGTGTCACGTGCAGTGGGTGCCACGTGCCGTGGGTGTCACGTGCAGTGGGTGTCACGTGCAGTGGGTGCCACGTGCAGTGGGTGTCACGTGCTGTGGGTGTCACGTGCAGTGGGTGCCACGTGCCGTGGGTGTCACGTGCAGTGGGTGTCACGTGCAGTGGGTGTCACGTGCTGTGGGTGTCACGTGCAGTGGGTGCCACGTGCCGTGGGTGTCACGTGCTGCGAGCGAGCAGCACGTGACAGCTGCTGCGGTGCCGGTGAAGGGCGGCCACAGTAGCACACGAGGGGGGGGTCTGTGTGGGTGGCCAGCACCACGCACGCCCCGGCCGCCTTTGTCTCCCCGGTGGCGACGTTTAACTGCCCACCGCTGCAGCAAGTGCTCATTCGAGGCCGAGTCGACCTAGGGGAGAGGGGCCCCAGGAGCGGTTCGGATCGTGGTGGTGGTGATGATGATGATGGTGGTGGTGATGATGATGGTGGTGATGATGATGATGGTGGTGGTGATGATGGTGATGATGGTGATGATGATGCTGGCGGTGGTGGTGATGGTGGTGATGGTGGTCACTTGCTGTGCATTCATCGCCACTTACGCGAGGAGGAATGCCCGGAGATAATCCCACACTTCACGCGAGGGGGCAACGCTCGATCCCCCCTCCCGCCCACCTACCACCCCCGCCCGGCCGCCTTTGTCTCCCCCTCGCAGCGGCTACTCCCGTTTGAGGCCGAGTGGACCTAGGGGAGGGTCCGGGGTTGCCCGCCGCGTGACGCCCCAACCGGAGCGCCACCGCTCCCCCAACGTCAACTGAGAACGCGCGTGAGCACGTGGTCACGTGGTCACACGTCGTCACATGCAACATGCAACATGCGTGCACTCGCACACACAC